TGCGTGGAATATGTAGTCTTTTGTTGTTTCAATGTTCATATTTGCTTGTGTGGTTTCTATATTTAATATTTTCTTAAGAAACCATAATTTTGTTTTTTTTTTCTGTTTGCGCTTTTACTTTGTGGGACGTTGTATTTATGTACTTCTAAAGATATACCACCTGAAAATACCGAATTTTAGCTTCGGATAATACGTTCTTTAAAATACATTTATGCAAGTTTTATGTACTGTATGTAATAAATTAATATAAATAAATAAATTGCACTTTATTTACATAAAATTAACAAGGAATTCAAACATTTTTAAGAAATTAATGGTACTCCTAAATTTTTATATGAGAATTGAAGTTGTGTTTTTGCCTAGAAATTACTTGTTTAATCAAAAGTTCTATAAACGCAAGATCCGCTCAGCTTTCAAAAGTAATACAAAATTAAAAAAGAATTTAAAAAAATAAATTATTTAATTCCATGAAATTTTTACACTTTTATGTCAATTTTCCTCGATGGCTCGGCAAGTTTGTCTATAATTTTTTCCACTGCGGGAGTGAGTTCCCTATACAAATAAAGAAGTGCTAAACCGTTCAATCGTCCTTGTGACATTGTGCTTCTTAAATATGTTTTAAGTCTACGGAGTGATGAAAATGATCTTTCATTCTCGCATGTTGTTATGGGGAGAGTTACTAGAATGGTAAATAAATTGAATATATTTGGTAACATGTCCTTTCGACACAGCTGCATAGCTTGGTAAACTTTTTTTGGCCTCTCTTAAGGTTTCAAGTTGAAACAAATTTTATACCAAATATCTATTTCCATTTTAGCATCTTCAAAATCTCCATCCAAATCGCCACAGTAAAAATCAAATAATTTCTTTAAACTAATTATTCCATCATGCTAGTTAGGGAGTGACGGAGTGTTCCTTAAAAAAGGAGTGAGTCAATCCGATCGGAGTGAAAATGGCAACGCTGCAGCAGACCATTGCATCATTCCGGGAAACAAGGCTACTGTTAAGTTGGAAAGAGACGGTGAACCCCTGACCTGGCATTGCGAGGCTAGTAGCGGGGTAACTGGCCTTGTCTTGCTGTGAACATTTTAACAAGACAGATCTGTCTGACTTAGGCTCGACAACGTTTATTCTTCTTCTTCTTCTTTTTTGGCGCTGTAACCGCCTAAGGGATTTTGGTCGAGTTCCGCAAAGCACGCCAGTCGTTTCTCCTCTGTGCCAACTAACGCCAATTGGAAACGCCAAGTGATGCCAAGTCCTTCTCCACCTGATCTTTCCATCGCAGTGGGAGCCTCCCTCTTCCTCTACTACCACCAGCGGGTTCCGATTTGAACACTTTCAGAGCTGGAGCGTCGGTGTCCATTCGAACGACATGACCAAGCCAGCAGAGCCGCTGTATTTTAATTCGCTGCACTATGTCCATGTCTTGTAAAGCTCATACAGCTCATCGTTCCATCGTCTGCAGTACTCGCCGTCGCCAACGCGTAAAGGCCCGTAAATCTTCCGCAAAATCTTTCTCTCAAACACTCCAAGAGCCACCTCATCGGATGTTGTCATTGTCCATGCTTCTGCGCCATATACCAGCACGGGCATGATGAGTGACTTATAGAGCGTGGTTTTCGTACGTCGAGAGAGGACCTAACTCCTGAATTGCCCTACTCAGTCCTATTGACAGTGCGAATGGGAATTGCTTTAAACTTCCATTCTTAAAGTAACCTGATGACAGTACGAATGGAAATTTTAATAGCGAGGTTTAAGTTTTTAAACTATAATTTTATTGTTACCGATGATGTCGATGTCATCGGCATAAGCCAGAAATTGCACGCTCTTGTTCCTGAGCGGTTCAGTTCTGCAGCTCTTATTATCTTCTCCAACATCAGATTAAAGAAGTCACATGAAAGGGAGTCGCCCTGTCTGAAACCCCGTTTTGTGGCGAACGGCTTGGAGAGGTCGTTCCCAATTCTGACGGAGCTGGTGGTATTTCTCAACGTAATTTTACACAGCCGTATAAGTTTTGAGGGGATGCCAAATTCAGACATAGCGGCGTATAGGCAACTCCTTTTAGTGCTGTGAAAAGCGGCTTTAAAGTCGACAAATAGGTGGTGAGTGTCGATCCGTTTCTCGCGGGTCTTTTCCAAGATTTGGCGTATTGTGAATACCTGGTCTGTGGTGGATTTGCCAGGTCTAAAGCCTAACTGATAAGGCCCAATCAGTTCATTGACGGTGGGCTTCAGTCTTTCACACAATACGCTCGATAAGACCTTGTGACCTATGCTTATAAGGCTGATCCCGCGGTAGTTAGCGCGAATGGCGGGGTCATCTTTCTTGTGGATTGGGCAGAGCACACTTAAATTCCAGTCGTCGGGCATGCGTTCATCTGACCATATTCTGCACAAGAGTTGATGCATGCCCCTTATCAACTCCTCGCCACCGTTATTGCTATACGTACCTCGTCATAGTCAGGCGGTGGAACGTCGACTCCGTCATCATCGCCTGCGGGCTCGGGTTCTTCTTCTCCACAACTTTCCGTGCTGCTACCATTTAGTAGGGCGGAAAAGTGTTACCTCCATAATTTAAGTACGCTCTGGACATCATTTACTAGGTCGCCATTATTGTTCTTACAGGAGTACGCCCCGGTCTTGAAACCTTCCGTAAGTCGCCTAACTCTCTGGTAAAATTTTCGGGCATTCTTCTTGTCGGCCAGCATTTCAAGCTCTTCGCACTCACGTATTTCGGCCTCTCTCTTCTTATTGCGGCAAATACGTCTCGCTTCCCTCTTCAAATCCCTATAGCGGTCCCACATAGCGCGCATTGCGCCCGATCGCAGCGTGGCCCTGTAGGCGGCATCTTTTTTCTCTGCAGCTTCCTGACATTCCTCATCGTACCAGTTGTTCTTTCTGGTTCGCTGAAATTCGACTACTTCTTCGGCGGCGGTACTTAATGAGCGGGAAATCTGGTTCCACTGCTCGCATATGTCGGTTTGTTGAAGAGTGCTCTCTGAGAGCAGGAGTGAGAGTCGAGTAGCGAAAGCGCTGGCTCTGTGTTGTGATGGCAGCTTTTCGACGTTAAGCTTTCCTTGCATATTTGGGCGAACATTTTTTGCTGCACAGAGTCGGGTGCGTATCTTTGCTGCAAAAAGATGGTAGTCCGAGTCGATGTTTGGACCTCGGAGTGTGCGTACGTCTAAAACACTGGAAGTGTGCCTTCCGTCTATAACGACATGATCGATTTGGTTTCTCGTTTTTCGATCCGGAGACACCCACGTAGCTTGATGGATTTTTTTATGCTTGAACCTAGTACGGCATACTACCATGTTTCGGGCCCCGGCGAAGTCGATCAGCCTCAATCCGTTGTCGGACGTTTCGTCGTGGAGGCTGAATTTTCCGACGGTGGTTCCAAAGATTCCTTCCTTGCCCACCCTGGCATTGAAGTCGCCAAGCACGATTTTGATATCATGACGGGGGCAGCGCTCGTACGTGCGCTCCAAGCGCCCGTAGAAGAGGTCCTTTGATGCCTCATCTTTCTCTTCTGTCGGGGCATGGGCGCAGATGAGCAAGATGTTGAAGAATCTCGCTTTGATGCGGATTGTGGCTAGACGCTCGTCCAACGGGGTGAACGACAGTACTCGGCGACGGAGTCTCTCTCCCACCACAAATCCAGCTCCGAATTTGCGCTCCTTTACATGGCAGCTGTAGTAGACGTCGCAAGGCCCCAGACATAGTTTGCCTTGCCCCGTCCAACGCATTTCTTGGATGCCGGTGATGTCAGCTTTTGTCCTTACGAGGACATCAACCAGCCGGGCAGAGGCACCTTCCCCATTAAGGGTCCGGAAATTCCAGGTGCATGCCCTCAAATCGTAGTCCTTTAAACGTTTGCCGTGGTCGTCATCATAAGGGGGGGTCTCATCCGAGGCTTTGCCTTGCTTCTTCACTGGACGTGGTTTTTACGTGGCGGGTCTCAAGCCCAGCGCACAACCCATTGCTGGGACGGGGGTGGTTTCGCAACCAAATACACGTTTATATGGCGAGCCGCTTGCTCCAAGCAGACACCCGCTTGCAGCCGCATCTACTGGCGAACAGACGCTGCAGACTTCAGTGAAACCTTAAACCGAATAAGTCGAGGTGGCCCAACCGAAGCTCCCTCTCTTTCTGCCGTGACCCAAGGCTCCATTCGGATTAGTTACCGCATCTCGCACATGGGTTGCTCACGTTGCCCAGACTGCGCGAACGAGGACGCAAGAGTCGGGATTGAGTATAGCCATGCAACTGTAACTGCATACCCAGCGCAACGACTATACCCCATTGCACTCCAACGTTTGTTAATCACGCTTATTATTTTTGAAATAGTCTTACGAAGTTTATGATGCTGGAGGCTTAAACTTTCCCTGAAATTTTAACCTAAATTAATTCTCAAATGCAATTCAATCTAAACCAAGTTTACCTGCTCCCTGATTTAATAGTCCAGAAAAAACGTTCAAGATTTAACTCGGCAGCCAAATTCCTTGGAACCAAACAATTCTAGAAAACCTATTCGGCCCACACTTTCAGGTGGTACACAGAGATCTCCACCCCCATTGAGAAGTACCTAGCAACCTCCAAGCGGATGTTTATGTCATCATCGGGCTACAACTGACCAAAAGGCTTATCGAAAGTAACATTGTCAAGGGAAGCTTAAGAGATATATTTAACACGTATACGGACGTGTCATTGCAGACTGGCGCCATTGCACATCCATATGGAATGTGGCGCGGTCAATAGAAGAAGACGGGATGCATCATATGAAACTGTTGGATTTCGTCAGTATTTTAGGGCTACATAAGGCCTTATGATGAGCGTTTAGGGCACAATGGGTCTAAGGTCGAAGAGTAGATCCTACAACAACACAAACAGGTTCAAAGATCCTTACGTCAAAAAATGTTATCCAGAGTAGTGTTTGAACAAAAGAGCACTTGCAGACTTCGTTGAAACTAAACGTTGTATTTGTTTTTTTTTTCATTTAAGGGAGACACGTGTTGCTGGATATGTGACAACTGCGAACCATACGAATACGTACTTAACGAGTTTACATGCAGAGATTGCGGGCCAGGTTATTGGCCATACCCAGATAAATTATCCTGCTTTGCGCTGGACGTTCAATACATTCGATGGCAATCCTTGTTTGCGTTAATTCCCTTGGCGATTGCAATATTCGGTATAATAATGACTGTCGTTGTTATAGTACTATTTGCTAAGAACCACGATACTCCGCTGGTGCGTGCTTCAGGACGCGAACTGAGCTATACGCTGCTCTTCGGGATTTTAGTTTGCTATTGCAATACTTTTGCGTTGATAGCCAAACCAACGATAGTCTCGTGTATTTCGCAACGATTCGGCATTGGTGTCGGATTTTCAATCATTTATAGTGCATTGCTAACAAAAACCAACCGAATTTCGCGGATATTTCATTCGGCGTCAAAATCAGCCCAACGATTAAGGTATATAAGCCCGCAATCCCAAGTAGTGATCACTGTATCTCTTATAGGTGAGTGTGCGAAAGGATCGATTAAAATATTATACTAAAATCTATTTCACCTCATAGCTATACAAGTACTGATTACTATGATTTGGATGATAGTTGAGCCACCAGGCACTCGTTTTTATTATCCTGATCGAACAGAAGTCATTTTAAAATGCAAAATACAAGATATGTCGTTTTTATTCTCGCAACTTTACAATATGATATTGATTACAATCTGCACAATTTATGCAATTAAAACTCGGAAAATACCAGAAAACTTTAACGAATCCAAGTTTATTGGATTAACAATGTACACAACATGCATTATATGGCTGGCGTTTATACCCATATATTTCGGAACGGGAAACTCATATGAGGTAAGTGCTTATACGTTTTCAAATAAGTTCACTGTATTACTTCTACAAATTTTATATTCATAAATGTAGGATATCCACGTTTTAAAATCGATGATGTTCCGTTTATTTAGTGATTCAAGTATTCCGCCATTTAAAATTTTGTAAGACATATAATTTTTTTAATTTTACAAGGACAAAAAATATTAACTAATATAAAAAATCCCGCCTCACAAAAGAAAAAATAACTCAAAATGAAATTGCGGCGATTGATAGAAGTCTTATTGATAATTTTGGCATAATATTAATAATTCTGCGGAATCCCGGTTAGTATTACGACATGCCAAGTACGGTTCATAAGGTTTTAGTACATGGGTGTGATGCTTTGGAATACTTCGATTTGTCAATAAGTAATAAGCAGAGAACTAGAATGTCCTCAATTTAGATTTCCCTTATTCCATATATAGCATTTAGCTAGTAACAAAGTATTGCCCCGTGAAATATGCACTGCCAGAATTTGCACAATCCTTCATAGCTGAATTGCTGAATATTTTAACTGCATTACCAACGTTCCTAGAATCGCGGTGACAGGAACTGGTAAAATTTTTTGGTAATAAAATTTTCTGGTTACAAAATCTTCGGTAACGTGCGGAATAGACCTGTAAATGAAACTTTTTTTTCAAATTAAATGAAACCATTTTCACACAAAGCGAAACCTTTTTCAAATTAAACAAAACTTTTTTTCAGGTCAAGCGAAACCATGCTATATAGCATTTTCAGTTTAAATAAAACCATTTTCAAATTAAATGAGACCTCTTTCAGGTTAAGTGAAACCTTTTTCAAATTAATTGAAACGTTTTTCAGATGAAGCGAAACCTTTTTCAAATTAAATGAAACCTTTTTCGGATTCAATGAGACTTTATTCAAATTTATCGAAACTTTTTTCAGATTCAATGAAACTTTATTCAAACCAAATGAAACTTTTTTCAAATTAAAGGAAACTTTACTCAAACTAAGTATTAAACATTTTTAAATTAAGGAACAGGAAATCAACTTAACCTATTTAGAGCCGTTTGCACCATATCTGGCTAACACTAAAGGCTCTGTTATGCATACTTGGCATTGCTTGAGATTTGTCACATAAGGAATCTGTTATAGCATTTTCAGTTTAAATGAAACCATTTTCAAATTAAGCGAAACCTTTTTCAAATTAAGTGAAACCTTCTCCAGATTCAGTGAAACTTTATTCAAATTAAATGAGACCTTCTTCAAATTAAATGAAACTTTTTTCAAATTAAATGAAACTTTATTCAAATGAAATGAAACTTCTTTTTTGGACTACTTTGAACTAGCTGTTTCGTGTTGCTCTCCCTTACGGTCAAGGCATGTTGAATACAGTGTTGCCGTTTCGATCCAATTGCACCAAAATTGGTAGTTTCATTTCTTAAAATAAGGCTTTGGTAGGTTGGTTGGTTTGTTGTGATTTTCGAGGGGTTTTGATAACTAGGCAAATCATATATATAATTTATGGCATTTTCAGTTTAAATGAAACCATTTTCAAATTAAGCGAAACCTTTTTCAAATTAAATAAAACCTTTTTCATGCTAAGCGAAACCTTTTTCAAATTAAATGAAACCGTTTTCAGATTCAGTGAAACTTTATTCAAATTAAATGAGACCTTTTTCAGATTCAATGAAACTTTGTTCAAATTAAATGAAACTTTTTTCAAATTAAATTAAACTTTATTCAAATTAAATGAAACTTCTTTTTTGGATTACTTTGAATTAGCTATTACGTGTTGCTCTCCCTTACGGTCAAGTCATGTTGAATACAGTGTTGCCGTTTCGGTCCAATAGGACCAAAATTGGTAGTTTCATTTCTTAAAATAAGGCTGTGATTTTCGAGGGGGTTTGGTAACTAGGCAAATCATATAATTTATTCATTTTATAAAACTGCAAAATATCTCTGTTTTCGGGAGTACATGTAAAGGATGATGTGAAAAGGAAAAGAGAAATGGGACATGTCAAAACTATTCTTTAATTGAAGTTGAATGTTGCCGTGATTAGACTGTGCTGTAACCCATAGAATTTGTTTAAGTTAGAAGAAAATAATTAGACAATTGTTATGCAAATGCCAAATTTTACATTTCGCTTAAGCGAGTGAGTGAGAAGGGAGATTATTTGTACTTTATTTCCCCCTTCTCCCTTAAGAAAATAATAGTTGACAGCTTTGAATTCGTGTAGCAACAGTAAAAATATTCTCCCAGTTAAACATTATAGTCGGCGTTATCGACTCCCTGATATAAGTATGGCGTCGATAACGATGTGTAATTGGGAGTTAAGGCTCTGTTACGTACGTGTTTTCACTTATAAATCAAAAACCAATAGACTTCTACGTATGTAAAAAAGTTTCATTTAAACTGAAAATGCTATATTCATTTTATAAAACTTCAAACATCTCTGTTTTCGGGAGTACATGTAAAGGATGATGTGAAAAGGAAAAGAGAAATGGGACATGTCAAAATTATTCTTGAACCGAAGTCGAATGTTGCCGTGATTAGACTGTGCTCTAATCCATAGAGTTTGTTTAAGTTAAAAGAAAATAATTAGACAATTGTTATGCAAATGCCGAAGTTTACATTCCGCTTAAGCGAGTGAGTGAGAAGGGAGAGTTTTTGTGTGTGTTTTTACGTAGAAATCAAAAACCAATAGACTTCTACGTATGTAGGGCTGTGCGTTGGGTAACAGCTTCCACGCGAAGCTCATTTAATAGATTCCTTATGTGACAACTCTCAAGCAATGCCAAGTATGCATAACAAAGCCTTTAGTGTTAGCCGACATGGTACAAACGGCTCTTAATAGGTTAAGTTGATTTCCTGTTCCTTAATTTAAAAATGTTTAATACTTAATTTGAAAAAGTTTCATTTGGTTTGAATAAAGTTTCATTGAATCTGAAAAAAGTTTCATTTAATTTGAATAAAGTTTCATTGAATCCGAAAAAGATTTCATTTAATTTGGAAAAGGTTTCGCTTCATCTGAAAAATGTTTCAATTAATTTGAAAAAGGTTTCGCTTAACCTGAAAAAGGTTTCACTTAATTTGAAAAAAGTTTCAATTAAACTGAAAATGCTATAAATGAGCTTCGCGTGTAAGCTGTTACCCAACGCACAGCATTACATACGTAGAAGTCTATTGGTTTTTGATTTATAAGTGAAAACACGTACGTAACAGAGCCTTAACTCCCAATTACACATCGTTATCGACGCCATACTTATATCAGGGAGTCGATAACGCCGACTATAATGTTTAACTGGGAGAATATTTTTACTGTTGCTACACGAATTCAATGCTGTCAACTATTATTTTCTTAAGGGAGAAGAGGGAAATAAAGTACAAATACCCTCCCTTCTCACTCACTCGCTTAAGCGAAATGTAAAATTTGGCTTTTGCATAACAATTGTCTAATTATTTTCTTCTAACTTAAACAAACTCTATGGATTAGAGCACAGTCTAATCACGGCAACATTTAACTTCGGTTCAAGAATAATTTTGACATGTCCCATTTCTCTTTTCCTTTTCATATCATCCTTTATATGTACTCCCGAAAACAGAGATATTTGAAGTTTTATAAAATGAATAAATTATATGATTTGCCAGTTACCAAAACCCCTCGAAAATCACAACAAACCAATCAACATACCAAAGCCTTATTTTAAGAAATGAAACTACCAATTTTGGTCCAATTGGACCGAAACGGCAACACTGTATTCAACATGCCTTGACCGTAAGGGAGAGCAACACGTAACAGCTAATTCAAAGTAATCCAAAAAAGAAGTTTCATTTCATTTGAATAAAGTTTCATTTAATTTGAAAAAAGTTTCATTTAATTTGAATAAAGTTTCATTGAATCTGAAAAGGGTCTCATTTAATTTGAATAAAGTTTCACTGAATCTGAAAAAGGTTTCATTTCATTTGAAAAAGGTTTCGCTAAACATTAAAAAGTTTCATTTAATTTGAAAAAGGTTTCGCTTAATTTGAAAATGGTTTCGTTTAAACTGAAAATGCTATCTACACATTCGATGTTGCCTTTTTTGCTTTTTTAAGATATTTGCCTTGTTTTGGCTTTTCTACCTTTAATTGAAAAGGGAAGGAAAAAGCCCTTATTCCTGATAATATGAAAGTTTTAAAAGTTCCATAATTAAGATGGGCGCCACTTTTATGAACTCACGCCGAGCGCACGTTTAGTACAATCAAGGCTTTTCTTCGCGAAAATCTAGTGAAAATGCTGCCAGAAAACTTCAAAATGCATCTTGTGGTTAAATGTTACTACAACTATAGTGATTAAAGTATTGTGAGTTAAAAACTCGAAAGGAGAAAATAGTCAAAGATTCAAAGTAGAAATCTTTCAAATAATGAAACTATATTATTATTAATTTTATTAATTATAATTAAGATTACAATTAATAAGACTGCCAGGGTTTTCGGCTACCGTTAAAAGAGAAAATATTTGGTATTTCAAATTAGGTTATTGATGCGTATAATTTTTAAAAAGTTAAAAATAAGATAGATATTTTGTTCGGTAGGATTAGTAAGGACTTCAAGTGGGTTCCGGTTGTGGAATATGAGGGATCTTTGTGTGTTAAGAAGTGGACATTCTATGAGGATGTGGTTGACAGTTAAATTGGAGTTACGACAAAATTAACGTAATGGCTGAGCCTCTTTTTTTTAATTAGATGTACATGTGTAAGGTTGGTATGGCCCAACCTGAGACGTACGAAGCACTTGTTCCTGATTACGTCTGTAGTGGCAGGAAGTTTTATTACCGATTTACTTGGATTGATAGTTTTGTAGCGGTGGTTATAATTCATCCATTTTAATGCATTTTTACGGTGTAAGGAGAGGGTGGCTAAATTACCAATAGATTACTTGAGAACGGTGTAAACATCATTAATGGAGATACTAAAGTTGATCTTGCAGCGTTATCGGCTTACTCATTTCCATATATTCCCGCGTGTCCAGGGATCCACATAAGTTGTATTCTGCTTCCTAGTTGCAAGATAAGCTGTTTTAATACAGTTATTGGTTCGGAAGTGTTCTTCATAGTTTTGGCGGATTCGTATGCTGAAAATCTGTCGGCGCACACAATAAATTTTTGCTTAAGTGTTTTCGCTAATTGCAGAGCTGATAATATCGCCCGGACTTCAGCATCATAAGCGGTGG